AAACATGTTTGAAGCTCAGCTGTCTCTGACACCTCCCCTGAAGGGAGGTCACCTTCCTCCCCTATTTCCAGGGCACTGCACCTGTTCTGTAACTGCAGCATGTCTGCTGTGGGCGCAGAATTTCAGGGCTTTGGGAGAGCATTCCAAAATAGTGCAGAAGATAAGCAACCAATTACATGAAAGAACTATTTCCCTTAATACAGTTTTTGTTTAAAAAAAAAAAAGACAACTTGATATACGTGTATAAGGAGTTCAAACGATAAAAGTATTTATTCAATTAGAAGACAAAATATTTGCAGCTTCCGAGAGCACGCACAAATCTCACCCAGTGAGTGACTCTGCAAGAACAGTAATATAAGACTCCCGCATCTGAACAAGTTTTAGCAATCACTGTTGAAGACCCAAGCTTTTTACACTCATTTAGGAAAAGCATTCTCCCCATCTTGCAACAAGTCATAAACAATTCATTTGTTACACCTCAACAGCCCCATTATCTTCAAAATACATGCTGGGTAACACCAGTATAATCATTTTGTCTGTAATGAATTTCCACGGGTAAAACAGACTGGAACACAGCAAACACTCTGCTGATGGAAACAGGGAATGAACTCCACAGCTCACTCCACCATGGTCATATTTAGTACTGAAGCTGCAGCCAGAACAGCAGCAGATACCTCACATTGCCACTACCACCATTAACCATGACCAAAACTACATACAAACAAATGATTAAAAATATGCCATTTTATACCAGATCTGGTCAGGTTATAGACCAGAACTAATTTCCAAAAGTATAGGAATGAAACTTTTAACAGAACTATACTTCTACAGCCTTTACTTCAGACAATAACAACCACTATATTACCTCCCAATGATATTGAAGTATTCCTTATGATTTCTGACTAGCCATAGTGATCTGTGAAGACCAGATTTCATTACAAGTTCCTCCATCAGACTGTGCAACTGTTAACAAGCTCAGCTAGATAAGCAGTGCAATTTTAGGGTACTTCTTGCCTGCATGTTATCCAAGTTATAGATGACATTTTTAGTGCAAAATAGTGACATGCAATTGAGCCCTTATTTATATACCTATTCTTACGATCATTTAGTAGACAATGTTAACTTAGATAGCATCACTTCAATAGTTTTATATCCTACTTATGCAGCTAAAAATTACAAAGTTCCAAGGCATCTGAAATAGTCAAAGTAAACCAGCAGAATGGCCCACAAGGTCAAAGATCTGGTCTGAAACTGGAGGCCATCTAAGACAATCATTGGCATGGCTTTCTGCAGCTAAAGCAGAATGCTTCTGGTCTGTGTTCATCTGTTTGTATGTCAGTTTCAACCTGTACAGGAATATCAATTACTTTCCAAGGATAGCCGTCACCTTGTTGTTTCAAAAGTGAGGAGTGATAACAGTACATGTTGATTTTCTTATCTTTCTCAGAAAAACAGTCACAATTTAAAATAAACACTAACCTTGCATCTCACAGAGAAAAGGGCATTTATTTACTAGAATACGTTGAAGGTGTGAAACTCAATTTAATAATAACAACAGGTATATTAAATAACAAAGCTTTAGAAAATATATGTAATTAGATAACAACATAGTCATTTAAGCAGATATTTCTATTGAATCTTTGCTAGAGTCCATGCTTGTCACCAAATTAGATGTTGTCCCAGGGTATGCATTATAAATGAGGTGATTAATTTCATGAGGTTTATAACCAGTGACTGGAATTATAATCAACAATATACATTAGCGTCTTCTAATATTTACAATATTTTGGAGCCTATTTTGATCTTATGCTAGTTTCGTATGACAGTAACTCCCCTGTCTTTGTACAGACTCCCAATTTATGCTGGGGTAGGTTAGAACAGAGCCTCTAATTTTATATGAAGCATTATGGGGCTCAAATATGTTTTTAAGGTACACACTAACGTCAGACTATTTGTATACTACAAGGCATTCTCCAAAACCAGGAAAGTGGTGGTTTTGGTTTGGAGTTGGGTTTTGTTGTTGTTTTTGTTTTTTACTGGCTACCATCATTAACAAATTGCAATCCTTCCACTTAGCTAAAGCTGCAGGCCATTTACTCCCTTATCCCCCCAGAAACAGCAAAGGAATGAGACTATTTCTTTTCCTCTTTGAAGCCACGTGCTGCAATACATACAGCAATCCTGGCTCTCGTCTGTAAGTTTGATTAAAAAAAAAAATAGATGTCTTTTCTTACATCTACCATTGAATCCTACTAAGAAGTTTCTCCATTTCTCTCAGCAGATGTCCCCACCTCCAACAGCTGTAATTATTTAAAACGCATCACAGCAAGCTCATCCCATAGGTACCTGCAGAAGTTTTCTACCATACACATCAGATGCATTCTCTATTTACAAGTCAAAGACACAGTAAAATTGTATCTAAAGTAACAAGAAAGAACTTCTACAAAGTCTGCATCCCTACAGAAACTTGGGGGAAAAATTGTCTCATGTGCAACACATTCATACGTTGGGTTGCATCTAGAGTAACTGAAAAGCAGGGTTTCTCGTTCACAGGAAATGCCAGACTTCAGCATGAGCGAGACTAAAATCTGGAAGTATTAACCTCTCTACAAATCAGAAATGTAAAGAAAAATTCAGTCATATTGCCCAGTAAAGAATTCCTGCACTCTGCAGAGTCTCAGTGAAATTAAGTCTTGTTAAATTTCCTTCTCCTCCTTAAATATCTGCTATTATATTAAATATTATTCTCAGTTTTCACGATCAGCTACATAGGCTCCCAATATCTACAGCTTTCAATCAGCCCCATTAGGCATACTGTCCCAGAATCACTGACCTTGGGAACACTTCCTAGGTTTGCCATTCCTCAAATCCTGCCTCTGAGACCCCTGGACCTCCAGGCTCCCTTCTACAGAGACAAGGCCAAGCCTATATGAGAACCAATCTCATTTGGTTCCTGGCATGGGAGCAGAAAGTGTGGAAATTCTATTTGAGCTATCCAATCCGATAGCTCTGCAAAGGTTTGCCATCCCTAAGGAAGTCTGCTTAGCAGGTTTGCTGCACAGCAACAAAATCTGGAATCCTAACAAGCAGAGTGCCACAAGACTGATGATGCAAGGCTTTCAAGATCCTCAGCTCGAAAGCAGAACTAAGAGGTGGACAACTCTGACCTTAACACCACAAGAGTTCATGTCAACCCTATCTC